AAAACATAACCCCCATAAATCAAACCCCACCCCACACAAGACAGTCTTGATTCCGCCTACACACACCCATACTAATATGTACTTACACACATCATACACACTCCCAAAGAACACATGATAACATACACTTAACACACACACACACACATCCCCATCCCAGCAAACAATAAAGCTGTAAAAATGACCAAGGGAATTCTGAGTCTCATGAATTCTGACAGCTTTTATCTTAAAAACAACTTAAAAGAGGCAGTTTGACCAATAGAAGGACTGCTTAAAACTAATACTTCCATATGATTTCATAGCTCTAGAGTACATAGAATAAATGTTATTAAACATTTTATATAATGCTTGGTAATCAGCTTCCTGCTAGTATTAGTCTAAGCAATAATTACCTGAAAAACTTTTGTCAATAATCAATACCAATATTCCTAACTGGAAGCAGCTGCTGATATATATATTTTCACCAAACACTCAACAAAAGCCCAAAACATCTGCACTCAAATTATGTTCACGGTAACTGCACAATATGTTTACAGATTTTAATACATTAAGACAATATTTTATATTTCTGTTAAATCACCACTTCATTTTTATCTGTTCTCTAATATCATATGAACGGTTTTAATATAAACAATGAAAGTAATGCTGGAAAGACACTTTCAGATAACTGAAGTTTGATTAAAACTAAAAACAAAATAGGATAGATTTTACTATATACTCAAAACAAGGATTAAAATATAGTAATGTCAAAAAAAAAAAAAAAAAGTAAAAAAAGTGTTACTTGTAAATAGGAAAAGATTATATTTTTCCAATTCACTCTTATTGCTTTGAAGTTTGTGTTTTCAATATTTTCCATGATGCAGAATTAAGTTTTTAGAACTCCTTACAGAAATCATATGCTGCAATTTCTGTCTATATGATTATCTTATTTTAAAGTATTTTAAGTTTGCATGTGCAGTGTCAAAAGCTTATATAAAAAAACGTTTTTAAATTTCAAAATGGGGGGAAAAAAAAATAAATAAAAAAAAACAAGTAACTTTTTCACATGTCCATTTTATATTATAACTTTTAAGCCAAACTTTTTAGCATTATATCACAAAGCTATTTTCATGAGATAATTTTTTTTAGCTTAATTACAAATTAAGATTTACTTTAGCATAAGCTTTTGTAATCAAAATCACTACATAATTATCAAAATCATGCTATTTTCTTTGTTTACAAAATCAATTCATTTTGTTTTTAGAATATATTCCTTGAATAAGAAAATATTTAAGTATAAAAATAAAATATTAATCCACGTAAGTCACAGATTAATTATCAATTTCAAATTGTTCAATATGCTTTTGACAAATATTATAAAAGTATTATTATACTAGTTATATATATCCAAAGGGTGTAAACATACTAATAAAACTAACATGAGTATATTATTCCAAATAACTTTTATAATATAATTTAATGGTATTTCACATTCTAATTGAAAAATAAATAATAAACAAATAAATAATGAATAATACTATAAATACCAAGGTAAATAATCTGAATGTACCGATTTTTTTGAGAGTAGGTATTATATGAGCCATCCAGGCAAAAATAATGAAACTAATGATTAACTACTGTGCAACACAAACATGTTAACAGATGATTAATTTTTTTAGGTCAAGAAGCTGTTTTGGTTCACTTGTTTTCTCTGTTAAAAAAAGGTTGTTAATCTGTAATTAATATCAATCTACATTTGAAATGGTCATTAAATGTGGATTAATATAAATTTCAAACAATATTTAGCATAAATTTATTTTAAATTGTAATGGAGAAAAGATAATTGCACATACTTTTAAAGGTCGAATCAGAAAAAAATATTAACATCAATGAGGATTTTAATCTGAAGTCCTTGATTAATTTTGCATTCTATACCATTTAGTCAATTCACTCTTAATAAACAGTTGCACTTTTTCATTCAAATAGACTCATGTCAGGGAGAAGATAAGATTCTGAAGTAACTTAGTTGTTTACAAAAGTGTTTTACATTCATTAAACATTTAAAATTAAATCAATTTTCAGAAGAAAAAAAAATTATAAAGTATATTTTCTTCATTTGTAGTAAACTTATCACAAACCTTTTTCTTTTTCTTTCTCCACAGGATCTTTTTCTGATGGATTAAGGAGATCTTCAAATCCCCACGATGCGACATGTTTACTCCCTAAAACAGAGATTGTCTGACCAGGACCACCTTCTGTATCCAGTAAACGGGCTAGTATATCAGCCAATGGAAGTTGTTCAATGTCTTTTAGCATTTGCAATAAATGAACAGTATGGATGAAGAGCTCCAAATGTCCACTGAAAAAAAAAAAAAAAAAGTTATATTCCTAAATAAAATTAACAGCTTCCCAAAAAGAACTAAATGACATGTTTAAAATTTAATTTAGTAATATCAGATATTGAAAAATTGCAAGTTACATATTAGATTTCCAAAAAAATAAAAATTCCTTGATAGTTTCAATATTACAATTGAAATTCTGTATTAAGCAAAATCTTTCAAACTATGACACTGCTAAAGTATCAACATTTCCCTTATACTTCATAAGATGATCTTAAATTTGCTATATGACTCAAATAATGCTCATTTTTCAAAATGTTAAAAAAAATCAAATTCAAATTTGATCACTTCATCTTCAAGTTAAAAATAGAATAAAACTCATCAACCAAAAATTTAAATACAGGATAAAGTAAATGCTACACTGATCCATTTACAGAATCAATAATTCAACATCATTCAAGTTTATGAGGTGGGGGTCAGATTATTTGATAACCGAATTTAAAAATTAAAAAAAAAACGTACAACAATTTTGTTTTGTTACAAAAATTTAACAAAATGCACAAATATCTATATCTTCATTGTACAAATACCAACCAAAGAATAAAAATGAAGAACTATTCTTAATTGTTAAAGCATCAGATTATAGTTTTATGATTAAAATGTGCATTACTGCAGTTTAAAATAAACATTATATATATATATATATATATATATATATATAGATATATATATATATATATGAATATATATATATATATATATAGATATATATATCTCATTTAAGCATTAATACCAATCATTTATATAAAAATGAAACTTCCCTAGCCTCCCCACAAAAACAGACTAGAATGCTCAAAAATTGAAAATGGTGGCATGTCTAGAGAACATAATAGTCACAAATGACAACTATTGAAAGAATATAGGAAAAGTAAGAAAAAGAGTAAAAGCTAAGGAGAGAGTGTAAAATGAAAAAAATGAATAAATAAAAAAATTACAAAGAAAAGGACAAATAATCATGACACCCTACATGCAAACACAAACAATATGGGGGGGGCTTACACCAATAAGTGCATAAAAGGAAAAATCCCAAAATATAAGTAGTAAATTGCTGATACGCCTGAAGAGTGGATGCCTACAAAACTCTGAAGTTAGGATGCTGAAAGTAACATCAATCAGCTAGATGACAAACTTTTACCTTTTTATATATATATATATATATATATATATATATATATATATATATATATATATATATATATATATATATATATATATATGTGTGTGTGTGTGTGTGTGTGTGGCTGAGTGGTTAGAACGTTCACTTTCTGACCATGAGACTCAGGTTTCTAATCTCACCATGGCTGATTTGTCAGGAAGGAGATTTCCTGATGTTATTCGTCTGAAGGGGATGATCCCAGTGTGCGGCACCTTTGGAAAGTGCCTTAAAACCATACCGCAGGTTGACCCAACCCCTGCAAGTGAAATTGGGTAGACAGAACATTTGGGGGTCATCGATAACTGTGCTAGCACAAAGTCACAAATCATCTTGACCGAGTGTTTGAATGTGCTGACATTGTTCAGATTGTTCATCATGCTAGATAACATGCTCTCTCCCAGAAACTGTAACTAAGATCTGCTCAGCATACTTGCAGTATAAACCACAGGTGGGTTTAGTTATACACACACAAACAAAAAGAAAATTGAGCAAGTAGGAAATAAAAATAAAATGATTACAAAATTATTCTAATAAGGAGCACTTTCTCTGTATGAATTTCTGGAATGAGAAGTTATTATTTATATAATTTACATTCAGACTAATGACTTAATCTTTATTATCAAAACATTTCAGGCATTGTGCTCCCAAGCCATTTTCAGGAGTCTGTTTATCCAATTCATGGAATTTTGAATGTGACCCTTTATTTAACCTATGGGGCTAGTTTATTCTTGTATCACTGTCCATGTCTATGGATACCTCATCTTATTACTTAGTACTGTTCAGTCACTGCTTGCTCTGTTTCCACTGAGTCTACATGGCCGAGTGGATTAAAGCATTGATTTGTGAATTTGGTGATAGTTATAGCTTGGTAGTACAGGATTTGTTTGTGTGCGTTGGGAAAAAAAAAATAAGTGCGAAATAATAGTATAAGTGTTTATTTTCTTTCAAATGAGTAAAAAAAAAAAAAAAAACACAAGCATGTTTTACCAAATAAATGGCTGACGTATATAGAACTTGCTGTAAAAGTAGTACTGTAGAGAATCTGACTAGGTACCACCAAAATGGAGGTGTTTAAAAATATATATTAACTAACTACCCTGTTTATTTTAAATTTATAAAAACAATAAAAAAAATAAATAAAAAACAACAGGGAATTATCTTATGTAAACAAAATTTTCAGTACTTATTCATGAACAAATTGTATGCTGAATAGGTCCTTTTATTAGAAAACTTTTGGAGGTCAGTGGAATTTTCTTTTACAGTTATGTAAAGAAAAGTCCCTGAATATTATTTCAGTAAGAAATTTATGCAATATCAAATGTAAACATAGTTAAAAAAAATTTTCATACACATTAGATTTACATTACTATCTTTCAAACAAAATCAAAATTCAAGACATTTAAAATATTTAAAATGTGTTGTGACTCATGATATTACTAATAATGGTGCATTCCTTACAGGCAAATGCATTTTTTTAAAATACAAATCTATTATTATCATCATGACAAGCATGGCGTTCTATAGTTTTTTAACAGAAATATTAGACATTTATTTCATAGTAAAAAGGAACTAAAAAAATAAAAAATATCATTTGCCCCTTGTCAAACAGTTGAGATGATGTTCGCTGTCTTAATAAAAATAACAAGCACAAGCAAAACTAATTATTTTTAGTTCATTTTATGAAAAACTCATTTCCATGAAAAAGAAAAAAAAAGGACACATAAGCAAAATGATTTTGTCTGTAACAAAACTTATTGATGACATGACATTATAGGTAAAAAAGTTTCTGATATCAGCCATTAAATTTTTTGACTGAATCAGAATAGCGAGGCAATTTTTTTCCTCTTACACTATTAATTTGAGAAAGTCAAAATAAGAAATCTATTATCAGAGTATTGGCAACTAAACTGGCAACCCACTCCAATTTATTGCAAGTGAGGCAAGGGTTTAGTAAGCCTGTAGGATGAAAAATAAGTCCTATCAAAGGGAAGAAGAACTCTTGACAGATCAATGGCCCGCTAACTAGATGGTGTCTCAATAAAATCACGATGAAGAAAGCAATGGGAAAACTATTACATTATCAATCCCAAAAACATTTATAACTCAATAATATTATTATAAAAGATAACGTGAAGGAGGTTGTCTATTGGGATTAACTCCTCGCCAAGGAGGGATATGTGCAACAGGTGTCACCTGACCATCATCCAGCAACTGTTAGCAAAACTATAAAGAATAATAGTGTGAAGAGGGCTAGATTACTTTGAATTGATCCCTTACTCAGTAAGGAAAGATGTAACAGGTATCACTAGACCGACATACAATGACTGTTTACAAACAAAAAATAGTTTTAGGGACATGGAATGTCAGAACACTAAATCAACATGACCAGTTAGAGAATAGGTTAAGTGTTAATATTTTAGGTGTATGCAAAACTAGGTGGGAGGATGGAGATTTTGTTGGGGACAAACACAGGGTCATATATGCAGCTAAAAATAAAAATGAAAGGGGAGTAGGACTTATATTAGACCAAGACAAAAAGAAATGTATTCTGGGATATTACCAGCTTTGAACAAATTCTTGTAGTCAAACTGAACAAAAAGCCTTTTAGCATATTAGACATGGAGATGCCCAGGAGGAGAAACAAAATACCAATTAACTATATAACTATAAATAAGAGATTCAGCAATGCAGTTTTATACTGTAAAACAAACCCAAGTGCCAATTGCATGAACGATCATTTTCTATTGAAACTATGGAAATTGAAGAGGACCAGGGCAACACCCAAATTGCAATATGACACACACCCAAAATGAAAGGACTGCATTAAAAAGATACAATGAGAATGGAAATTTGAAGTAGGACAGAACACTGATAGATAAAGAAAGAAAAATTACTTCAGTGATTGAATGAATGCATAACAGAATACTTCCATGATGAACATGGACAACTCACAATACATAGAAATATTAAGAGACCAGAAATGTTAAAATCTGAAATGAAATCCACACTGGACAAACTGAACAACAACAAAGCAGTAAGACCAGATGAAATTTTAATAGAGATGCTGGTAGCTTTTGAGGATTTTGGCATTGACAAAATTACAGAAATGATAGATGTAATATATCAGAAGAACAAAGTAGATCCATTTTCAAAGTAGATCCATTTTCATGCTAATAAAGCAAACAAATGCAAACTATCAGATAATTAGCCTAATGAGCCACATAACAAAACCTATCTGAATTCTGATGAATAGAGTGTGCAGCAGAATTAGAACCCAAAATAGGACAAGAACATTGTGGTTCCATTAAAGATACTCTAACAAGATACACAATATTTATGCTCAGAATGATATCACAAAGAGCAATATGAATGCAAAATGATGTGTACCTAGGTTTCATAGATTATGCAAAAGCATTTAATAAAGTAAGTGCGTCCCAATGAACTGTTTGAACTGTGAGGTAAGTTTGATCTTTTTAGTAAGGATATTAGAACCCAAAACTTATACTGAAAGTAAACTGCTTGCATATGGATAGAAAATGAATTCAGTAAATATGCAAAAATAGAAAATGGCACAAGACAAGGATATGTTTTCTAACCAGACTTATTCAACCTTTACAGTCGCTACCCCCCATAATTTGCAGAAAAAAAAAAAGAAAAGAAAAAAGTATAACATTATGCAAAAGGCACTGAACTTGATAAAAACAAAGTTTTATCATCAAAATGTTTGTTATTAAAATTTCCTTTTAATAACAAACATTTTGATGATAAAACTAAAAAGTAATTTTTTATTATTTTATTAATTTT